AGGAGCACGTGCAGCGCACCTAAAAGACCCTGGAGCAGCGGGTGCAGCTGGAGGTACGGGGCCAGGGGGAGCAGGGATGGGGTGGGCAGGCGGCAGTGCTGCGGCCCCCCCAGGCTCAGCCCTCTCTTGCAGTGCGATGGGGTGCCCATCTCGCTGCCCAGCCTGCAGGGCATTGCTGTCCTCAACATCCCCAGCTACGCCGGGGGCATCAACTTCTGGGGAGGCACCAAGGAGGACAATGTGAGTGCCAGCGCCGCGGGGTGGGGAAAGGGCAGGACATCCTTCCCATGGTCCCAAGGATCCCTTGGGCAGGGGTCTGGGGTGTCCCTGCCTTGGGCACACATGGAGGAAAAAGCTGGGTCCCTAAATGAGCCCAGTTTGGGGGTTTCACCGGTCTTCTACAGAACTTTGGGGCTCCATCCTTCGATGACAAGAAGCTGGAGGTGGTGGCCGTCTTTGGCAGCATCCAGATGGCTGTGTCACGGGTCATCAACCTCCAGCACCATCGCATCGCACAGGTAGGGACAAGGGGCCCTGGGTGGTGCTGGAAAGTTTTTGAGGTGCCAGTGGAGCGTGAGGTGGTGCAGCTCAGCCAGGCTCCTGGCTGGCACCAGCATGGGGTTCTTTGGCCCCAGCACCGCAGCTGAAGCCATGGGTGCAGTGCCAGCCGCCATGCCAACCCCAGGCACTCTGCCCCACAGTGCCGCGTGGTGAAGATCACCATCCGGGGGGACGAGGGTGTCCCTGTGCAGGTGGATGGAGAAGCCTGGATCCAGCCACCTGGCATCATCAAGATCCAGCACAAGAACCGAGCCCAGATGCTGACACGGGACCGGGTGAGCTCGGGGTTGCACAGCCTGCGCAGCAGGGCTGTGCTGGCGCACAGGGAGCTGTGCCAGGCTGAGGGGGGCCATCTCCATCCCCCGCAGGCATTTGAAAGCACCCTCAAGTCCTGGGAGGATAAGCAGAAGGGGGAGAGCTACCGAGCGGCCGCCCGGCCACGGCTCAGCTCTCAGCAGTCCATGGAGTACCTGACCGAGGAGGAGAGCAGCCTCTTGCAGCAGGTCTCGCGGGTCGCCGCG